TATTATTTTATTTATTTATTTTGTTTTTTTGGCGGATCCAGGGATTGAACTCAGATCCTTGAGTTTGTCAGTCAAGCGCTTTTCCTACTGAGCCATCTCCCCGGCCCCTAACCTACCTATAATACTTAGGTGCCAATGGAATACCCATTTCTGACAAGAGTAAACAACAAAAGGTGATACAAAGAAGGTCCATTTTGTATCTGTATATGCAGAATAGTTAGGATAGATATACAGCTACTTTTGCATAATTCAATGAGGAGAAAGATTTGTACTAATAGTGTTTGGACAGGATATCCTGTCTGCGTCTTTTACTATGGATAACCACTAAGAAGATAACAATGTGCACTGTATTAATTATTGAAACTGTACTATTGATCAGTTTTGAGACTGTCTTATTGATATTTGTTTCTCAATAAAGTAAAATAATAAATAAAAATAAAAAAATAATTTAAAAAAATGAAATAATTTCAGATTTTTTTGTGTCCCTGAAGAAAAGCAGTAATCACACCCAGCAATCCTTTGTCAGCATGGTAGCCACAAGTAATCATTGATTTCTTATTATATCTTTCCCAAGTTACAGTTCACGACAGATTGTGTACACTAAGAAAGATATGATACTTCACAGAATACAACTGGAGAAACACTACTAAATAATATCAAAAGACCCTAAAGATGGTTGAGTCACAATATGAAGGGCAACCTCGGGGCAGTGAGTGTGTAAGAAGACGTTGTGTTCACCTGAAGACAACACAGCACTTCAGAAGCAACACTGAGACACTCATCATTATGTACTGGTATCATTGCACACCTTGGCACACCTTGTAGGCCTTGGTGGAATTAGATAAGAGGCAAATCTATGGCTGTCCAGATAAGTCAGCAGACTAAAGTGCCTGCTTAGGCAGATGCAAGGATGGGGTTTGATCTTCCACATGCTGTGCTGGCCCTGCCCACAGGGCATGCTGAGATGGAACTGAGATTGGGTGTGGTAGCACTTGCCTGTAATCCCAGTGCTTGGGAGGCTGGAAACATGAGGATCACTGTGAGTCTAATCTGTGTAGTGAGACCCTGTAGACCTGTACTAAATACATTTAAAACAATTTTTAAAAAAGTAGACAAATCTCAGAGTTTCCATCCTTACCAATCCACCCTCTTCAGAGAGTGTTATGATAAACAGATCAGATATTCATGCAGATCTAAACTACAGTTTTATTATTGCTCTACAAAACCTCCAGCCACAATACACAATGGAGAAGGCCCTGAAATTAAGGTGAGAAAGAAAGTAGAGAGCGAAGACCAAAAGTAGAGCCCAGTTGTGGATGTGGGGGTAGAAAACTCCCTTCCTGGGTGAATTTGCAGAATGTGATTCTTGCTTATGGTTAGCTGCATGCAAATTCAGCCCCTGAACTTGCAGACATAAGGTAACTGTATATCACAGTTGTAATCTCTCCACCTTAGGTACCCTGGAAAGACAAAAGAGTCAACGTGAGTGGACTGTTGGATCACACAGATTTAGTACAGAAATATCTCAGGTTCTGGCCTAGGCTTAACCACCTCTCTATCATCTTCACAAGAGACCCTTTCCAGAGAAAGGAAATTAAAATAAAGAGATGAGAGGATACAAGAGAAGGCAAACTACCACTGCCTTTTCCAGTTCAGCAAGATTCCCTGAAGATCAGACCTGGGAATGGGAAAGAGGGGTAGAAAAGGCGTGCAGAGCTGGCTCTTATCTCTTACCTGAGGCACGTGATACAGTTCCACAGTAACCACGGTCTGAGGAAGTAGAAGGATTCCTCTCCCAGTTAGAGTAATCCAGTATATCAGAGGTGCTCCACTCCCAGCCGCCTCCATTGGGTTCATAGCCCTATAGCAGAGGATCCATCAAGGTGAAGGAAATGACACTCTCACATTCAGGATCCCTTCTGTGGAACATCTGACTCCCACCTCAGCCTTATGCATTTTGGTCTGCTTCTCCCCAGGCTGCTCAGAGCCTCCTAATGCAATACTCCCCCTGAATCCCTCCCTCATTGAGAAATTCCAGCCAATAATCACAAGAAATCTGGGCATGCTCAGAATAACATGTTTCTTGCTGAATATGATTGGTAATATATTTGAAGTTGTCTATGAGATTCATGGAAAGCTCTATCCTATAAAGAGTAATTTTGATATCATTTTCTACTTAGGATTCCCCTGAGATGGGTGTGCAGATTCCCCGAAGCTCAGGAAACTAAGTTCCAAGTCTTTGTGTGAGAATGGCATAATACTTGAAAACAGGCAGACTAACTAATCTGGAGACTGGGAGCCTCCACAAAACCCAACTCTTCAGCTGGCATCACAGATTTCTTTTTGTCCCAAATGTCACTCAGATCCTGAGATCTGTAGCTTTGGGTACTCTTTCTGGGTAGATGCAGAAAGGTGAGCCTAGATGGCAATGGCCATGTGATAAGTAACAGAGAGAAAACAATGAAATCACACCAGTGTAGGGTCATAGACCCCGATCCAGACGTATTGGTGGGTGTTTGAACTGCTCTTGATTAGCGAGGACACAAAGGACCCTTCAGCTGCACTGAGCACTGACACAAGGTTTCCTGAGGGCCGCTTCTGGCAGGCCAACTGCATGGGGGAGAAAGAAAATAAGAGGGAACATGAGATCTCAGTGGAGTACATCAAGGCAAAGGTTTAGTCTCTTTCCCAAGAACTTGCACTTTGGAGACCTGCTCGTCTGTGACCCACTTGTCCTTTACTCTGTGATTCCCCACTCAACTTCTAAACACTCACATTGGCATCAAACCAGGATTTGGGTGTTCTAAACAGCACATAGCAGTAGGATCCATAGGCCTTGGAACCCTGGGGACACCTGATTCGTGGTGAGGGCATTTTGCCTTGGGAATCTTCTCCTGGAGTGAAGAGAGACAAAGGAGGAATGAGTGAAGTGTGGACAGGAAAGGTGATTTAGAAAACAGTTATGAGAACTGTTCTTGGAGAGTAAGTTTTTGCTCCTGAATTCCTACCTCCTTTTCCTGTGCTCCCTTGATATTGAGATAGGTCTCTCATATGGCAAGTGTCTATTGCATTTTACTCTTCTGCCTCATTCAATTGTCCACAACTTTCATCTTCCAGTTCCTACTTTGTGGTCTCTAATACTTGCCTTCCATAAATGTCCTTACTGAGCTTTAATGCCTTTCCTCTTTAACCATACTTCAAAAATTAGAGATTCCTGACAAAGTGGGAGACCATCTGGTGCCATTTATGGACTTCTGGTAAACCCACTGCTGATAACCAGAAGGAAGGAAGGATGGCACAGGATTTTCAGGTAGTGTCTTCACATTGGGTGCAGCTCACCAGTGCCACATGAGACACTGAGAGGCCTTTCTCTCTTTCTTGTAGAGAAATCTCACCTTGCACCTGAGGTAAGAGCAGCAGGCAGGAGAGCAGCAGCCAGGACATGCTGTGGAGTGTCATGGGAGGCAGCATGGTATCTGTGGGTGAAGAGACAGTCTCAGAAGTAGCTGTGGTCTGTGAGAGGATATCCAGGGACCCTAGCACCTTTGCCCTTCTCCTTTGTCCAGTCCTGTGGATATACACTGATCTTCATTGCATGACTTCCCTTCTGTCCCTTGAAATGACTGGAAATATGTCCTCTACTTTCCCTGAGGAACTTTAAGGACAGGCTTTGCTCAGTCACAGATCTTCTGGATTACCTGAGATCACAGACCTTGCTCATCTTCTCCTGTCATGGATGAAGTCCAACCCTTGATAGGGTTCTCATCTTCCCACAATGCCCACTTACCTGTCTTGTCAAACCTGGGATAGTTTGTAGCATCAGGAAAGACAGGCTTTTATAAGAAGATCTGAGGGAGGGGCAATGACATGAATAACAGGTGTCGGGGGAGGGCAGATTCATACACAGGGCTTTTATTGTTTCAAAGAAATTTCTACCATTGGTTAAAGATTCTTCCTGGAAAATTTCCCAATTTCTACAGATAGCACTTCCTCCCAGTTAGCACCCCATGTTTCTCCCCACTGATAGGTGAATTATTTTCTTCTGTCAATTCTTCCTAATCATTGTCTTATTCTATGATATTTGCTATAAAATTTCCTGCTAAAATTGTAAAGGTACACAGCCAAAGAAAATTCATCTAGTATTTCTCAATAACTTCCTTCTGTAGAGAAACATACCTAATTCAATTCACTTTGTCTAGTTAGATTAAGTAATTTATGGGTTTGATGTGGGGGTGAGTACAAGAATTCAAAGTAGCATTAATATTTAAGGGCATGGAAAAGACAAGACCCAAGAGTAGGTGTAATGGCTCAGGTTTGCTGCTGAAAAATGGTTTTTAATTTTTTGAAAAGTTAAACTAGTAAGTTAGTGTTTAGCAAAAATGTAAGACTGATCAAATGAATGATCTTGTTTCACCATTTTCTAAAACATGGGGTTTTTGTAATGGATAATGACAAGTGATATAAGAAGATGCTAAGAGGAAACATAGACCTCTAGGGAGATTATAGTTTGATAACACCAACCAAAGGGAATGAATAGAAACTGAAAAAGTATTACATAAAATTTTAAACATGGCTCCACACTGCAAAAGAGTCAGACTTCTGCAGTGAGATGCTCACTATGCCTGGGCCCTGGGTGAGCCCTCTTGCAGGTTGACCATTTGGCTGTAGATTCAAAGCCAAGGTCATTCCATTACTGTAGAAAAGATGACCATATTCATGCACATAACTAATGTGACTTTTTAACATTAGCTTTACTTTTGAGTTGGCAAGTTGACAGTATTGGAGAAATATACTGTGTGGGTGGGTCCACAGTATTTTTTAGGTTCATTTTGACCACTGGAGAAATTTTCAAGCCAGGAATTTCTAAAGACTGACTTTCACAGTATTATTGTTGTAATATTTATATACAGGTGTGTATAAAAAGTGTCTGAATTAAGCTCATAATTAACATACCAAATATTTAAGAGCAAATGGAACCTCCAAATAATCTAATAATATAACTCATTTATTCTCTTGTTAAAAAGGAAAAACAAGCAATTTCTAGAAAACATATACAACAAATTTAAGCTCAGAGCCACTACTGTACTGAGAACTTAACAGACTCTTTAAAGCTTAAAAATATAGCATGCAGATGTGACGGCTAAGATGATTTAAGATATAACTTTACTAGCTTAAAAGAATTATTCATGAAACAAGTGGATAACAGCAATCATACAGTCGCAGTGGCACATGCTCCAAACTATAGAAAAATTCAATATCACAGAGAAAATAAACAATTTGATTTATATATTTATTTTTCTAAAATATATTTTTATTCATTTTAATGAGAAAAAAGACAAAAAGCAATGAAACAGTTTCAAAACGTATTAGTAGGACAATTACAATAATTAATACATTGTATGTTGTTGTATTCATAGCAGTTATTCCGAGGACAAGATGCAGACATGATAACTTGTCTAAACAAGGTTAGGACAAATCTTCTGATTCAACTAAGAAAGTAGCTATATATCTATACTATCTTGTATATGTGTTTTTTTTCACAAAAAGTTCTAAATTTATATGCCCCTTTTTTGGTTTGTTTTGCCTTGTCAGAGATGGGTATGACATTGCAGTTAGAGAAGCTATATTTGGAGACTTTAAAGGACCTTTTCATACTTAATGACAGTCCAAAGATTGTAGGTACTTAAATTCAACAAAACACCAAATATAATCCAATAATTCATAATAGTAGTGAGTTATCAGCACAACTGGCAATGCTCAGAAGTTGCTAACTTGAGCCTTTTATAACTCAGCACATTAATATATCTTTACATTTTATACCTCATGGTTACATTTTTCTGCTGGATGGTTAAGACCAAGTTAAAGCAAGACTTGTATAACTAAAAATGTAACTTTTGTTATCTGTTAAGTTCAGTCAAGTCACCTCAGGATTTACCCTGGAATCATGTAAAGCACCTTGTAGATAGTTAGTCAGTGTCAGCCATCTGAATGAGTCATGGTCATTGCTTGATCAATTTGCTCTCTGTGAAAGCCAGAGAGAACGTTTTCTCTCTAGGTGACTTTCCCTAGGCATATATACATTGTCCATCACTTTCTTCCGTGGCCACATAGTCTCCTTGATCAGAATATTTGGGACACCACTGAGTTACAAGATGTCACTGCAGAATTTTTCTAATGTCCTGATTCCTCACTGACCATGCAAGACTAAGGCCAAAATATTGGCTGTCCTTTTAGCCCATCTATCTGATTAATTTTTGGTCTATAACGTTAGTCATTAAACATCCAGAAGAGAAGCTTAATGATACTATTATCCTATAACAGAGGCAGTTAAGCTTAATATCACTATCGGTCTGAATATCGCATACCTTAGACATAAAATACTACTATTTTCCAACAACCATGGAAATTCTAAAATCTGAATCCCCATAGGATGCTAAAAAATGATTACACATTGTTCTCAAAGAAATTTAGAAAGCATAGCATATACAACATTTTCACAGAGAAATCCTGCTGCATTGTGTTTTTCTTGTCTCTCATTTACTCTTCTTACCTTTTTTTTTAAACAAACATTTCACTTAAAGAGAGTATAGAATTTTTTTTTTTTTTTTGTGTGTGTGTGTGTGTGTGTGTGTGTGTGTGTGTGTGTGCAGGGTCTCACTATGCAGCTCAGACTAGTAATGATTCTCCTGATTTCTGCCTCCCGAGTGCTGGGAATATAAGTGTGTTCCACCACACCTGGACTCCATCGCCGGCTCAGTATGCTCGGGGGCAGAGTCAGCATTGCAAGCAGTGTTATGGTTCAAACCAGAGCCTCTGCACTTACCTAAGTGACTGGCAATAATTAATACAGCATTACAAACAGTACACATTTAGAAGACCAATATGACAGGTATTTTAAGCATGGTTTTAGTATTACACATTGCTGTCCACAATGTAGTTGTTTAGTTTAAAGATATCATCATGTAGAGTTAGTCAGGGTGAGAATTCTAACCCTGACTATTTTCAAAAATGAACTGGTATTTTAAAAAATCTGATGGAAATTTTTGGGACCTTAACCATCTAGTTTGTATAAATGTATGGTTTTTGCCCCTGCCATATTTCCTGACTTTCCTCCTTTCTCTTTGTGGATTAATCCCTAAATTCTCTCTTTCTATTTAAATGTGTCATACCTTTCAATTTTTATTTCTTCTTTGTGATCTTACACTACGGAAACTCCAATATTTACACATGTGGGTCTAGTTTGTTTCACTTACGAGTATAGCTTCAAGTAGCATCCACTTACCCATGAAGGCTTCAAGTTTATTTTTCTTTATAGGTGAGTAATACTTCATTGTATAAAATCATCACATCTTTTTCATCCACAGCTCAGGTGATGGGCATTTTGGTTGTTTCCAAGATTTGGCTATCATAAATTGTATTGATATAAACATAAGTGCACATATGTCACTGTGATTTGAGGTCTTCAATTCTTTTAGGAAAATTCCCAGTAGGGGGACAGCTGGATTCAATGGTATTTCCAGTCCTAGTTTTATAAGGAGTCTCCACATTGATTTCCATAATGGTTGCACCAGTCTACATTCCCACCAGCAGTGGAGGAGTTCCTTTTACCCCACAGTCTCTCCTACATTTGTTGTTGGTTGATTTCTTTATGATAATCATTCCTTTTGGTGTGAGATGGTATCTCAATGTTCATTTAATTTCATTTCTTGAGTAGCTAGTGATGTGGAGCATTTTTTATGTACTTATTTGTCTCTTGTATTTCTTCCTCTCAGAAGTGTGTGTTCATCTCACATGCCCATTTCTGGATTGGGTCTTTAAATTTTGGGGCCCTAGTGCTTTTTTAGTTCTTTATGAATTCTAGATAGAAGACCTTTGCCTGAATGCTTATTAAGATGTTTTCCAAATTTGTGGGTTGTCTTTTCCCTGTGTTAGTGCTTTCTTTTGATGTGCGGAAACCTTTTAATACAAAAAGGTCTCAGTTGTTGATTCTTTCAAGTATTTCCCGTGCAGTTTGATCTTTGTTCAAGAATTGTTTGCTTACCCATATGCCCTCAAGATTTCCACCTACTTTCTCCTCCAGATGATTTAGTGTTTCTGTTTTAATACTTAGATCTCTATTCCATTTTGACTTGAGTGCATGTTGATGGACGTGAGTCAAATTTTAATTTTTGGCATGCAGAGAGCCAGTTTTTCCAGCACTGTTTGTTACAGAGACTATCTCTCTTGAAGTGAATATGTTTCACCCATTTGTAGAAGAAAAGATGGCTGATTATATTTGTAGTTTTATTTACATACTGTAATCTATTCCATTGATTCTTGGGACTATTTTTTGCCAATACAATGCTGACATTATCATAGTAGCTTTGTAGTATAATTTTAAGTCAGGGATTGTAATGCCTCCTGCTTTGCCTTTGTTGCCCAGGATTGCCTTTTCTATTCAAGATCTTTTTCTGGTTCCAAATAAATTTGAG